CTAGATGGTTGTTTTTTTTAGGTGACGTTCAAGATTTATGATGGCCTTTCATATTTATTTGACAATCAGTAATATTACATTTTGATGTGTCATTTATAATACTATAGTGAGTTAGAATTAATAAGTATTTTTAATAATATTTTAATTATTAATATATATCTATAATATTTTAAATATTTTTCATTTTTACTTCCATTTTGTAGAACAGTAGAAATAGAAATACAAAAGTTAAATAAGGCTGAGCATGAAAAAAAGTAATGTGTCGTCAGAAGCGATATCATTATTTAATTCAATTAAATCAGAGTTTATCATTGCTGCTAGTTGCATCAATAAATTATTTTTAGCTCACTACTTTGTAGATTTACAAAACCAAATTTAGATTTGGTTCAGGTTATTGATTTGGCGAAAAATATATATGAACAGGTAGATACAATAAGAATGAATGTAGATAAATATTTTCATAAAATTTATCTAGATGTTGAATCGAAGGCTAAATTTTATGATATAACACTAATTAAACCTCGTCTAGCACCTAGGCCATTATTGAGATGTAAAATAAATATTGGCTAAACTGAAGAATATTATAAAATATCCATTTTCATCCCATTCCTAGATACCTTTTTATCGCAAATAAAAGTACGGTTTTTAGATAAAAAACAAGTCTTTAGCAATCTTCAAGCCCAAAGATCCATCTTAGTTTTCTAATGCCACTATTGGTGAAATTAAATATTTAGCAAAATTTTATTCCTATGAGATTGATACTGAAATAAATTTAATCAGTGAATTCGAATTGTGGTATAAATATTTACTACGTTTAGCTATTTTACCTGAGCATGCTATTGATGCACTCAATCGGTGTAAAGAACCTTGGCTCAATTTCCACATATTTTGAAGTTGTTTTATATTCTTGCATGTATGCCTATTACAACATGTACGAATGAAAGGACTTTTTCCAACTTGAGAAGGTTGAAAACATATTACGAAGTACTGAATCTCGGCTAAATGGGTTAGCTCTGTTAAATATCCAAAGAGATTTGGTTCCAACCACAATCGGAATTCTTGATGAATTGGCAACATTCCCACAAAATTTAAAAATCACATTATAATTATAGAAAATATTTTGTATAATATTGTATTTGATAAGAAGTTAAAAAAAACTTGTTAATTTAATTATTTTCTAGTCAATATTTTATACACACTACTATTAGTATTTTAAATAAAAAAATTATATTCTACTTATAATGTATAAGAATTTAAGCTGAGGCTAGTTTTTAAAGCAAATTTTATAAAAAAAATGACATTACACTTTATTTCAACTTTACATTTAAAAAAACTTAAATAAAATATAATATACCTAACTTGAAATAATAAAAAATAGGCTTGTAATATCCATTCATAAGCATGAATTAGTAAATAATAGCTAAAACATAAGACCCGGCCGAAGGCCGGGGAAAGCTGGCCGAAGGCCACGTAAAAGGGATTTGGGGGCGAAGCCCTCAAATTTTTTTCCCCCTATAAGAAAATCCTGGATACGCCACTGTTACAGGCATAAACTCATGAGGCTCGAACCGGTTCAGAGGCCTTTTAGCGGTCGGCTAGAATTTTTTAGCGGTTTAGGCTCAATATTAAATACCGGTTTTCAGCGGTTCAGGTTCGGTTTGGATCCCTGATTTATGTTTTAATCAATATAGAAATTGTTTTCGTGATTTTCATAATATATAGATATTTTGTATTACAATATATGCCTGTTGATGTCAAATTGCATCATCATTTTTTTTTACCTGTGTATTTAAAAAATAAAAGTTGGAAAAGATTTTGAGCATCTATGTAGTGTATAAATAAATAATTTATAGAAAATTTTTTTAAAAAAATTATTAAAAAGTTGGGCGTCAAAGGGTTTAAAAGGGTATTCTAAAATCTCATGACTTAGTTTGGCATCGTGCACTTAAAGTTGATATAAAAAAAGAGCATATTCATTTTTAATAAAATATTATTCATATATTATATTCTTAATGAATAAAATTTTTAGACTTATTAAATATTATCAACATTCGTTATATTATCGTTATAAAATCATAGAATTCAGTAAAATGGTAAAGGTAAAATCATTAAAATATGATTGATGAAATACAAAAATATTTTTATTATATTTATATCATATGGTGTTAAATAAATCTATAGGCTTTTATAAATTTAAAATATATAATTATATTATATGATGTCAAAACAAATCATGAGACGTTAAAGGGTTAAAAAAAGTTTATCGGAGCCTGCGTCTCCATGCCATTCTTTGGATTAGTTTTTCGACTTGTTTAGAGCTCTTGGATAGCATATAGAGGCACGCTTTTTTTTCCCCATTCATATTTGAATGCGTTAGATTGATATCATCTCTATTTCTTATATCAGAGGCTCGGTAATCTGGTCTATAAAATTTAATTATATTTGGCCCGCAGGTAGGGCAAAACGATTTTTATGGCGGATTGAGGGCATCTATTATTAGTGAGGATGTTTGTTATTTATCTTTACCATATTTTCACAATCAGATTTTCATTACTTTCTAGCGTTTCCTTGAGCCCTTCCGTTGATAACGCTGGTTATCCCATTTTCGTTCTCAATTATTTTATGATTGCATAGCTTGGCTCTTTCGCTTGTTAACTTCCATTTCAATTTTCTTCTGTCATAATCTACACCTTTTCCCCTGTCTCTTTCCCTTATCCTTCAGTTTTAATATAAATTTTTTTAAATTCTTATTAAAATTACGAATATTCTCAGACATGGAACCAAATTAAAGTTGTGATATACAAATATTATTATTTATTTCGAAAAGAAGATAAATAATAGAAGTGGAACTACGTCCAAATTACGATATCAAAATTCAATAAATGATAAAAATGGAACGAAATCCAAGTTAAACAATTATACAAATAGAACGAAACCCAAAAATAATCCGACGAATATTTAATTTTATAGAATTAAATCCTACAATCATATAATTAACATTATATAGATATACTATCTCTTAATTTAATAAACCAATTATCAAATAATATTAGGATTAACATTTATATTTAATTAAAGTGCTTAATATATGCGTTTACGACACTCCCATCTTTTACAAGCCAAGAATATATGCACCTGATAATAAAATATATAATTATACATAGACCAGTGTAGACAATTCATGTCATCGCCTATTTTTAGGCTGCTCGGTAGCGTTTCACTTATTTATAAATATATTTAAATAGGAAACCAAAATTTATATAAAAATGTTTATAATAAATTAAAACTTATACCAGTATCAATATTCCGCAGGCACAAGTTGGATCTGAATACTGGCATTTGGGAAATGCAAAGAGCTAGAGTTACCCAATTTAGCAATATTTACTAGGAAAATATTTTCCTTTCTAGTTATCAGGACTCCAATGAACGTATTTTCTCTGTTGTAGTTTTGATTTGAATTCTTAAAGATCTTGCTCAAGATAACTTGGATAAAATAATATTTATACATGATATAATTTTATAAATTCAATTTGCATATTTTTATTTGTATAAAATGCATTTATGCCATTATAGTATTCCCTTTTTATAAATAATGTGCATTTTTTTAAAGCATCTTGTCACACACATTGCTTAAGTTGATGATTCAGTTCCTTATCTTTTTTACGATATTTTATAGACATTTGTAATTTTTCTGAAAATTTATATTCATATCTTTTGTTTGGTATATAATAAAGATATATTTACATTTAAATTTTTATGCTTAAATTTGTTTGCTATAATATACAAACATATTTACAATGTTTTTCATATATGTTGTTTTATCGGCGGGCCTATTATTAACCGCGTGCGATGCACCGCCGGTTAAAAAAATGCACACGCGCCGCAATTTTTGACATCGGCGCTCAGGTCTACTAATACAAAATATATTATATACGGGAAAAATCGTTACTACGTTGTAATTTACGGTGGTATTAATTAGTTAATAACTTACCTTAAAAATGTTATACCAAAATATAAAGGTATTTTGTTAAGTATATCAAAGAATTCAAATCGGCCGCCTTTTTAAGGTTCTCCGCCTTATATTTAAAAAAAAAGTATATATGGATCGTCATCATTTTTTATTAAAAAACACATAAAAATATTGGTCGGTCGTAACTATACGTCATTGACATCAGAAATCTTAATTCTTTGCTGTGCTGGAGCAATAGCAGTCTCCATTTCGCTTCATAGAAGATCGGTTATAATTATCCCATATAATCTTTATGTAGAGTGAGTTGAGTTATTAGTGCCAAGTAAGGGAAAAACTTATAAATATCATTTCTTTCAATATTTATCTGTGTCATATGTCAATTCCTTTTTTTAAATAAAACGAGATATTACCATCACAGAACTTATATGTATTAAAATAAAATGACCAGAAATGATGTTATACTTTCAAAATGCCTGTCTTTTTTATCAACTAAAATATAATTTAAAAAAACAATCATTATCAAAAACTAAATTAATCAAGCATAAATATCATGAAAAATTAAATACGGGAGTAAAAAAATTTCAAGGACAACAATTAACGTTATTCGACATAACAGTGAAATATATCAATCACACCTTCCCCTATATATTTGCAAGAGAATTAGCGATGTAAATTATTAATTCTAACGTTAATTCCACATTGATCATGTAAAAATAAATAACTATTTTAGGACTAATTTGACATTTACCAACGCACATTTCAAATATTTTTACCGTTTAGGCGGAGGCGGGCTGACTTCTAATGCTTATACCATAATAACATGTATTAATCACATGTTATTAAATCCAAATTAATACTTTCTAAACCTTTTTTAAATTTAAATGTGATTTGGTTATTAATTATAAGTTACTTAAAACGTAAGAAATGAATGAGGCAAGAATATAAAATCGTTATCTTAAAGGTCTCATAATATATGCCTGATTGCACTACATTATATAAAAAATAATTACTTTATATATTTATAATTTAGCTAAAGACGATGTAGCACCTCTTCATATATCCGAGCTAGATATTTCTTAAATTATTCGACGACCGTATCTCAATGGTATTGTTATAATAATATCTAAAATACTATGAAAATTTATTTGCCATGTTATTTTATTATATAACAACATCGCCCTCACTATTTATACCAATTATTTGAATAATATAAAGAAATTTTCAATAATTTTTGCAAACTGTTTTTAATATAGAAATGGGGATTATTATTTAGATTAAATTATAAAATTTAATTCTTCAATCAAAAAATAGCAAGTTAAGGTAATGTTACGATTTTAAAAGTCTAATAAATTTATTTTTACAAAAGAGAAATACCGCCACTTTGCGGATTTAACCAATATTTTAAAAAAATGAGCTTATCTCATCCCAGTTTTAACTTTATAAGATATTCGTGAAGGTTTGATATAACAACTAGTTTGTTAAAAAGTCTTGTTTTTACGACTAAGAACTCAAGTAGTCGCAAAAATTGGCTTAGGCTCAAGCCGACTAGATGGGTCGGCTCAGGAGCTGGCTCAAATCATCTCAGAAATTGGCTTTAATCGACTCGAGTTTTGAGCCAAAATTTATTTATTTGTTTATTAAATATTTTAAGAATATAATAAAATAGAATTAATGTGGCACTGCCAAATTTGATTGGAAAAATGAATTCAGAATCAAATCAAGTTAGCTTGATGAGCTACATGAGTCGGCTCAGAAATCTAAGGTCGCTCACGTGCTTATTTTTAACTACAAGTTAATATATTGACTCCTACTCTCAGTTGTTATTGTTATATAAATATTACTTAAAGTATATTAATATTACGCAAGGACTTGGGTTGGGTTGGAGTGGCATTTATTTTATTATTAAAGTTAATGCCATTTATGTGTCGTTGGTAGAAAGGAAATTAACATCCTTTTTAATACGCTATTTTTAAAAGGAGAAATCTGATATAACCTGTAGAGATGTACCGATACAACTTTTTGGGCCGATCCGATATTCCCAATATTAAATTGATATCTGCCGATTACCGATCCGATATCATATCTAATTTTGTATTCTATAAAGATATCAATAATTTTAATTTATAATATACTTTTTATTAGTATAACATCTATAATCTAACTACCATAACTTATATCATTTAAATATATTATAATGGTCAGTTATAGTTTATATTCAATTCAATTGTAATTCTAAAAGTATATAAAATATTTTTATTGTTAAATTACTTTTATATAATAAGTAATAACATTAATCTACTATATACATAATAAGTAATAAACAAATATATTTTAAATTTTAAATAATAGTTAACATTAATATATCGAAGATTTCTTTTTAGAAATACCAAAATTCGAATTTATCAGAGTTCAGCCTGCGGCGATGGTAACTTTCAAATTCAATATCACCAGCTTCATTAAAAACAGATTCTGAAGAGATAATCGCGCACATTTATAAACAGAATGCACAAAAAAATAATAATATGGCACAATGTTTATTAATTAATTGATTTTGATTTTATTTATAAAAATGAATTTTGATTTTTATAAAAATAAATGATTTTAGATATACAGGGTTTCCCATTCAAAAAAGGAAAAGTCCCAATCAAAAAGGGAAAAGGTTGATCAAAAAAAAAAAAGGTTCAAACAAAAAAGAAAAGGTCCAAACAAAAAATAGTGTCAATCAATAAAGGAAAATTCCCAAAAAGAAAGGAAAAAGTCCGATCAAAAAAGGAAAAGTGTCAAACAAAAAAGGAAAAGTGTCAATCGAAAAAGGAAAATTCCCAAAAGAAAAGAAAAAAATTATAAATTTTTCTTAAATCATTATTTATTTTTGTAATTCCTTCTTATTTTATTTCTAACTTTTTGCGATTTCTTTACTTTATTTGTATCTTTTCTCAATTTATTTTTCATACTATATCTTTCTTTTCTCAATTTTTTTTCTTCTCATTTTTGATAATTCTTTTGTATTTTTAAAAATAATTTATAAATTTAGGTCCATTTTTTAACAATTCTTTACGTTTTTTTCATACATATGTCGTAATTTATAAAGGGATCATAACTATCGGTATCTTCACGGGATTTAAAAGGATCCCTTTAAAAAGAACTATACGGCTATATCACGTTTGAACCATGATATAGAAGAATCTTATTTTAAAAAGCGTTTTCCGCGCGTTTCATTTTTTAATTTTATTGTTATTCATTAATTTTTAATGTTGTTTTTTTTGGCCATATGAAATAAGATATGTCTAATATAGGGTATCAATCGATAGCTAATCAAAAGATCTATTCAACTGGAAGTCAATCTCTCCCCCATAATGGGCTGGTCTAGGTCTTGGGGGTTGAGAAATATTTTTATTAACACAAAATATCGATATGGATATCAAATAAAAGCTAATTTTAATATGGTTTGACTGAAAGTCTTTATTGCCGTTGTGACCAGTTTTTACGAATATTAGAATGATGATCCCTCAAATGTATATAATAAATTTTATTCACAAAACAAGGAAAAAAAATTATAATCAAAAACCAAAAACAAAATAGTAATCAAAAAAAACGAAAAAAAATTAATTGTTAAAAAAAAATGAATTGATAATTTACAATTTTCGCTCCCCTTTTATAGGGAAGCAATAATCATCACAAATAAATAATTAAAATTTAACAATCTAAAAATATCTTCTTTTACAATTATAAAGTTTCTAATCATGCCTCAAATTAAAATTATAAGATAAAAACACATTTTTAGAAATTATAAATTATCCCATCATCATAATGACTTTACAATAATTAACTTTTATAAATCTAAAAATAAAATGTTAACGCGATTAAACTAAAACATAAAATTATAAAAATAACTATGACTCATCAAACGCAATATTTACTGACTTTACCAAAAATCAAATTTTACAAATCAAAGTCTCCCAATTATGACAGTCTTCTTCTTGGTCTGGATGGGCATGACTTGGTCTGAGGGTGAGGGGTGTAAAAAATAAATTTTTTTGATATGGGTATCAAATAAAAGCTAATACAAATATTTTTTTATTGTAATAATAATAATCACTCATAGAGGGCAGATCTAGGTCTTGGGGGGTCATGAATAATTTTATCACCACAAAATATCGATATGGGTATCAAATAAAATCTAATTTAAATATCTTTAGATTGAAATTATTTATTTTTTGTCTTGATGGGTATGACTGTCAGGCCCTCAACATACAGGGTTTCCCATTCAAAAAAGGAAAAGTTTCAATCTTAAAATGAAAATTCCCATTCAAATCGTAATTTTTTTAAAAAAATTATAAATTTTTCTTAAATTTTATTTATTTTTTTCATTCCTTCTTATTTTATTTCTAACTTTTTGCGATTTCTATACTTTATTTGTATCTTTTCTCAATTTTTTTTCTTCTCATTTTTGATAATTCTTTTTTTAAATTATATTATTTTTTTGGCAGACAATTTTTTTACATACATATTTATAATTACAGTATTAAATTAATCGTTTGGTTATAATAAATAAGTTTGAACTGTAATACCAAACGATATACAAATTAATGAAATTCAAGACGCATTTATACTTTTTAACAAGTAAATAATTTTTTTGTAATTATCTTACTATTTTGATTTATGAAAAATTAAACGTAGAATGAGGTAAATGTTATAATCTAAAGGATTTTAGTTTTTTTTCGCTTCTATATATTTTAAAAAGATTTTTTTGTTTTAAAAAATAAAATTATGAAGATATGGTAAAAAGGGGAAAAAATATTAACAGTGAAACAAAAGCTCTAATAATTGACGCGTTAAAAAAAGATAGTATCAAAAATATGGCAACATGTTTTAAAGTAAGCTATAAGACAGTAACAAATATTAAATACTTTCATCTCAAAAATGGAATAAAATATAGCTTGTCCTAAGGAGGTTCACGTGCACGCAAGAAATTAAATCAAGAGCAGGAAGAATATTTATTGAATTGTATAAATTTTTGCACTTTATCCTTAAAAAGGTTATGTGAAATGATTAAAGAAAGATATGATGTGAAAATATCAAAAATACGGTATCAAGGTTACTCTCAGGATTTAGGTACAGCTGTAAAAGAGTCTCACTACGTTCAGTTAGAGAAAATAACGAATCAAATATAGAGATTCGCAAAGAATACGCGAATTGGTTTGTAAATGTAGCCTATATGAAAGAAAAATTTATATTTATCGATGAGAGCGGGTTTTCAATATCAATGAGGCGATTATATGGATATTCACAAATAAATAAAAAGGCAATTAAAAATGTTCAAGGGATTATACTATCATTGCGGCTCTCACAATTCCGGGAATATTTAGATTCGAAGTTCTTGATGGCCCTTGCAATGCTAATATTTTAGCAACTTTATAAATGAAATATTAAATCATTTTGAAGAATCTAACATGATTAATATGGTTTTTGTGATGGATAATGTTCCATTTCATCACAATCATTCAATTAGGGAATCGATCGAAAGAAAAGGTCATACATTGAAATATTTACCACCTTACAGTCCGTATCTTAATCCTATTGAGAATGTGTTTTTTCAATGGAAGGATTTTGTCAGAAATAAAAATCCTAGTAACGAGGAAGAATTAATTCGTTATATAGAACATGGAGAAAGAGGAATATCTGAAGAAAATGCAAAAAATTATTTTAGAAATATGTAGACATATATGCCAAAATGTAGAAGGGAGAAATTATTAATGATTAATATAAATTTTTGTTTCTTACTATATTAAATATATATCGTAATTGTAATTAAATAATTTGATATGTAAAAAATTATAATAAAAAAGTTATCTGCGAAAAATTTAGTGAAAATTAATTATACTTAAAAAAATTGAGAAAAGATATAGTAAGAAAAATAAATTGAGAAAATATACAAATAAAGTATAGAAATCGCAAAAAGTTAGAAATACAAATAGAAGGAATGACAAAAATAAATAAAGCTTAAGAAAAATTGAAAAATTTATTATTTTTTTAAAAAAATTACGATTTTCCTTTTAAGATTGAAACTTGTCCTTTTTTGAATGGGAAACCCTGTATGTTGAGGGCCTGACAGTCATACCCATCAAGACAA